AAGTAAGCTAAGTATAACTCTGTTAATGAGCAAGTACTGTTAACTTAGTAGAAAATTAAGAAATTTTTAGAAGAACTATTTAATAGTTTAAATAAAATATCTTGAAGAGTTTGAGTTTGAAAGATATAAAACTAGACTGCTCTAAAGCAAAATCTTGCATAGAACAATTTTGCTTAATAGTCTAATAATTATTTATTTAATAAAGTTTTTAATTATAACAAAATATTTTTAAGAAGTTTTGATACAAGTGATCTACAGAAAGAGTTAGTGATTTGCATCTTTTTATTAATTATTAATAATAAAAATCAAAAATATAATATATTAATAACTATATTAATTTTACATTTTTGATAAATAAATAATTGAATATTTGCTTAAATAATAATAGCTCTATCTGCTTTTAAATTAAATTAAATAGCTTTAGATATATTTGAAAACTAATAACAAATATGACCAAGCTTAATTTTCTCTATTTTTTAGAAAGTGTATATGATAAAATTTCTTTCTCAATAGTTCGAAAGTCTTTTATATTATCAAGATCATATGAATTGCTAATGCACTATCCAATTTCTTATGAGACTTCTCAAATCAATTATATTTATGTAACAAATGCTAGAATTAAAATAATTATATGTAAGTTAAATTATATACAAATAACAAAGATTATACTTACTAACAACAAGGCTTCTTTACTATAGAAATTTCCAATTCAGTAATATTATAATTTGTTATTTCAAACAATTCAAGTAAGTTCAAAGTATTTGTTATAGATAGATGCAATAGTTTCTTGCTTGATGAATGTAATAATTCCATGCTTGATGAATCCAATGCCTCTTAAATCGATCGTTTCAATACTTTCATCTAGAGTTTGTACCCGTTGAGAAAATCACTACCTGGGTATTATTAAATACACGGGTTGACCCGGATGAATTACTATGTTATTCAAGCAAAAATCTTTACCCGGGTACAATCACTACTTTCATCTAATTCATGCAGGTTTTCTTTTCGATCTAAAATAAAAAGTTAAAATGTTAAATATAATTTTTTTTAAAAATAATATTATAAATATATAAAACTTTACTTTGAACTTTTATCATAATTATTAAAACATTGTCAGCAAATATTAATAAAATCTTGACCTCCTTGACCTCTTGTTTCAACTTGTGTTACATTATTTTTTCGAAACCAGTTGACAAATTCTCAATCATATTTATCCCTTTTTTTTGTTAGCGCCTCTTTGTGTAATATATTTAGAAAGAAAGTCCAACTTATGATCAGAATTTTTTTACTATTCCAATAAAGTTCTATTGATTGGCAAGAACAATCTTTGCCATAAATTTTTGTACAAACTAAGCATGTTACATGTTGGACATGCATTAAGGCGAAAACTTAATAAAGACATTGGATAGAACAATGTACTGTAACAGTAACACAAAAAATTCTTTATATACGTAGCACTAATCATTTCGAAATCAATAACTTATCCGAATAAACTTCGGTAAATTTTTTTAGGGTGCCCCAGGATTTATGAAAACAGCTGTAAAGTATAGATAATAGAACTTTATTTTTAATACATCGATAACTAGTCCTTTATAAAGGCTAAAGGGCATCCATTTATACAATTTGGTTATAAAGGATTATTCCTATTATTTTCTTTTAGGATTTTGAATCCTCCTTTTCACCCACGAGTAATTATCCTTCATCCATGAAGTTATTATCTCACAACACTTTACCTGCAATCAATTCACCGACATGCTTATTTTATAGACAACCAATTCCTAAACAACTTATTTAACAGATAGCTCATTTCACAGACATTATCGTCATTAGAATTAGAGTTAGAATTCGATTTCGGTTAGAGGAATTTTTATAAACAACCAATTCCGAAACAACTTATTTCACAGACAGCTTATTTCACAGACATTATCGTCATTAGAATTAAAGTTAGTATTCAATTTCGGTTAGAGGAATTTATAATGAATAAATTTAACTGTGAATTAAGTTGTATACGAAATGAGCTTGTTTAGGATTTAGTTGTCTGTGAAAATAAGCCTGACGTTAAATTTGATTGTCATTGAAGTGATACAAATCCAATAGTCTTATAGTTGGTGAACAAACTTCTAAGGAGAGATTTGTTTACATAAATTTATGAATCATACAGATATTAAAAATTATGTATTACAGCAGTAATTGTTTTTTTTTTTTTTATAATATAAAATAACGATAAACTGTACAAGCCATATCGAACTGATAACATCCCTATACGGCAGGTGATTATCTCTGCAATATTATAGTTTTCATGTCTAACCTAAAATAAATAAAACACGATAAAACCTTATTGTTATTATCCGACATGTGTGATTGATGTTTTTGTCACGAGATTACGTAATCTTTTGTGCAAAATATCATTCCAAAATCATCCCAGTTTAATATTAATAATATATTCGTTATTCATGCTGCATAGTAGCACATGGGAGCGATATTAATTCGAAAAAATTTCCGATTTTTCATCGCATTATTAATCCGATACATATTGGAGAAGTGTTAGGATATGAACAAAGCGTATATGTTATGCGTCATTTTTCAATTTACGTCGATTATTAATTGACGCATGTCATTTTTCAATTGAAAAATGACATACGTCGTTTTTCAATCGGTATGAATTTTGCGGATTAAAAAAAAGTTGCCAGAAAAATTATTTATATTAAATATTTAAATTCTAATTTAGCTACATTTTGACCGAACATATTCAAATTAATGTAATGTATTAATATAATGTATTAATATTTTAATAATAAAACTAACAATTTTTGCATTGTCCATGTAAAACACATCCACAGCGTCTTGAGCATAACGAATTATTTTTTCTGCAAGAGCATGATTTCGTGTTGGACGAGGTCTTTGGCTTAAACCAATATTTACATTATTTATATCATTACATATTAGCGTTAATAAAATTTTTATTAAAGTTTAAAAAATTTTTTAAATGTATGAGTTGAGTGTTCTTAGATTGAGCATTCTTGAGTTGGTTCGAGTGCTCTTGAGTTGTATCCCCATCAGAAATTCGAGTCAATAAAAATAATAATAATTTTTTTTTTTGTTAGAATAATGTTACAAATTATTCACTTGCCTGTATAGAATTTAGAAATAATTGGACGAGTAACGCATATTTTACATTCATTGACAGCGTCTTCGACTAACGGATCTATTTATTATTAAATAAAAAAAATATAAACCTTTCGCCGGGTCTTCCTGTTGAGCACCACAAATAACTTTGTAATAAATTTTCAACCACGCACTCTTGTGTTCCCATATTATTTCTGCTTTGTTTACGTATGTAAAGTTCTATAATACCAACGCGAAGAACTTTAAAAGTATTAATCGCTTAATGTTTAAACGTTAGGTTACACTGAATATCTATTTTTTTTGTAGTTTAGACATTCAAGCTTCGTTTATTTTATTTTATTTTATTTTTTTGATTTGTATAAGTCTCATGGGTTAGAACAACTTTGTGGATTTCATTATTAACGAAGAAAAAATGAAGTACAATTATTAACGAAGAAAAAATGAAGTATAATTATTAACGAAGAAAAAATGAAGTATGATAAAGAACTTCTTAAAAAAACATTTTATTTATTCACCATCATTCATATCAATATAATACGTAATAAGTTCTGTCTGTCATAATCCATCGTTGATTATAATATGATCTGCATTAAAAATTGACCTGTGTCGTTTATCAATCGGTGAAAATTGAAAAATGACAGGCGTCAATTAATAATCAACGCAAATTGAAAAATGACGCATAACATATATATCCTAAAGAGTAGAATCGACTTATTATAGATACAGTCGTAGATATTACTTATTATAACAATATTGAATAACGATATATTTTGAAAAAAAATTTTTTTTTGAACAATTCTATATAGTTATATATTTTTATTGATTACATATTTGCAAATAAATATTATATCATGTCCAGAATAAGGTTGGCTAATGTTTAAATAATTTTGGAAAATCAGTCATGCCGAAAGAGCAAAACTGAATATCGTAAGTCGAAATTTCTACCGAAAGTTCATAAAAAAAAAAACAATAAAGATTTTTTATAAATAAAATCTTAAAATAAATTTATGACTTAGACTAGTTATTGATAATCAAAACTTGTAAAGGACGTCGCTATTAAATTTCATTACATTATAGCGCTTTGCAATAAAGTGTGACATCTGCAGATCATGATGTCATGTGAAATTACTGATTCTCCGACAATTTTAAAGGTTTTAACCAAAGTATACAATTGCTTATTGAAATATATGATTGATAGAAAATTTTAAATTTCAGAAATTTCTAATTACCATTATCACAAAAATCACAGTGCCACAATTTATTCATAATTTATTTTATTTTTTTTTTAATTTTATAAATCTATAATTTAGATAAAAAAAAATTTCATCAAATCTGATCAAGTGGTTATCGAGATATCTTCGCTTGAAGTTTGAAAAACCATAAAAACTTTATCAAATATGATCGTCATCACGCAAAAGGGACAAAAAAAAATTTTCTTAAAGAATAGAAATATAATTAACATAAAAATAAAAACTTAATTTTTTGCCTCATCCCTCCTTTTACTGTGGGGCAAAACTACTTTAATCTTTTAACGTACTAAAAGAGTCAAGGATCGACATAACGTTAATGAAAATTAAACTTCGATTACTGTATATTCCATATGTATTCCGGACAATAGCTACGTCTTAATATTGTAAATGCATAAATGCATATCAAATTCACAAAGCAAGAAATAGCTCAGAAAGTAAATAATAATTTTTTTTTTTTATAAATTTATAGAAATTTCCAAATTTTAATAAAATATTAAAAAGTTGTTCGTTACACGGTTCATTGAATAAATTAGTGACACGTATCCTGCAGTGCATTTAGTACGCACACACATTAAGCTCTCTCTCTCTTTCTTACTATTTCATCTCAAAAAACTTACGACAATTATGACTAAGCAACTTAATAAACTCTTTAAAGAAAATTATATCGAAACACTTCAATGTGACTCTTTTGAAGCAGATAGCACTATACTATCTAGTAATAGTTATAAATATTTTTCAAAAAGATATAATAAATTTATGGTTTTAAGCAAGATATACTTCTCTCAAAATAATACAATAAAAGATTTTATCAATGATGTAAGATTATATTATATTTAATATTTTTAATATTCCAATATTCAATATTCAATTTCCAAGATATTATACCGTATTAAATGTTGATAATCATTTCATTTTTTTTTTTCAGTTAAGACAATATAGAAAAGTAGAATTACATGAAAATATATTAAAATTCATAGGCATCATTAAACAAAATAGTAGTACACACGAAATAATATTCATTCATGAATATGCTAACGATGGAACTCTTCGTCAATATTTAAATCAAAATTTCTGTATTCTTAATTGGAATGATAAGTTGATCCTTGCAAAACAGCTTGTTAGTGCAATAAAATGTTTACATGAAAACGATATAATTCATATGAATTTGGTAGTCTTTTTAATTTATTTCATTTCTTTAACATCTTTTGATAGTAATTTATCTAATTTATTTTAGTTATTTTTTTCTTTTAACGTATATTTCTTTAATACTAATTATTTTACTGATTTATATATTATATTATTAGAATCCAAAAAACATTTTCGTTCACAAAGGGAATATAAAGATAAATGAATTTATCGCTTTTCAATATCATAATAAACTTTCAAATAAGTTCAAATCAATTCAATATACGGACCCTCAATATTTAGAAAATCATGAAATCTACAAACTTAATAAAAGTTCAGATATTTATAGTATCGGTGTTCTTCTTTGGGAAATTTCAAGTGGCGTTGTTCCATTTAAATCAGAATTACCTTTTAGTTTTAATTTATTAAATAATATCATTCATGGTAAACGAGAAGTTGCTGTTTCTGGAACTCCTAAAAAATATGTAAAAATATATACAGGTAATTTTAATTTTAATTTAATTAATTAATTAATTAATTAATATTTTAACTAAATTTACATATATATATATTTATTTTTATTAAATTATAAATTAGATTGTTGGAGATATGGCTCAAGTTTACGTCCAACAATTCAAAATGTTTTTAAAGATCTAAACAATATTAATTACAATTATGATGAAATAATTACTGAATCTATTAAGAATAAAGAACATAAAGAGAATTCAATATTAAAAAATGAATGTTCGAATAAATCAGATTTATTACAACATTATACAGATTTACGTTATGAAATTATTAAAGAATTAGAAATAATTTCTTCAATAATTTTAACACTTAAAAAAATTCCATCTTCCGAAGATTCAATTAATTCATCTTTATTAATTCCTAAAATATTTCCTTCTTCATTAATTTCAAATAATTTAGATGATAATAATTTAGTAAAATTTCTTTTTGATTTAAATAATTTATTTATTTCTCAAATTAATATTCAAGGAATTTCTGAAGTTACTTCTTGTTCTATAATTTATTGTTTACAAAATTTTATAATTGATAATGAAAGATGTTCTATCGAAGTTTTCAATTATTATAATTATTATTCTAATCATCGATTTAGATTTTGTTTTACTTCAATTATTGGATTCTTTTATGAATATGGAATTGGAACTAGTGTTGATTATTTAAAAGCTTTTGATATGTATAATAACGCAGCTGATGATACTTATAATAATAATAATAATATTAATTATAATAATAATGATTCAGTTTTTCTTACTGATGATTTATTAAAAGAAAATCAATTCATTGGATTAATTTCTCTTGGTACACTTTATATTTATGGAAAAGGTGTTTTAGTAAATAAACAAAAAGCTTTTCAATTATTTTTAAAATCGGTTGTTAGAGGTTCAAATTTAGGAAAATGTTATATAGGTGATTGTTATCATTATGGTTATGGTGTTATTGAAGATCATTCACAATCTTTTAAATGGTATATGGAATCTGCTAAAGAAGGAAATGCAAGAGCTCAAAATGCTATTGGTTATTGTTATCAATTTGGTGAAAAAATTAATAAAAGTGGTGGTTTAGCTTTTATTTGGTTTACTAAAGCTGTTGAAAATGGTAATTATTTAGGTTATCGTAATCTTGGTTATTGTTATCAATTTGGTGTTGGAACTTCTATAGATGAAAAAAAAGCTTTTAAATATTATAAGAAATCTGCTAATGGTTCAAATAGTTTAGGTCAAAATGATTTGGGTTATTGTTATCAATATGGTATAGGAACTACGAAAAATGAATCTAAAGCTTTTTCTTATTATATGAAATCTGCTAAAGGTGGAAATAGTTCTGGTCAAAGTAATCTTGGTCGTTGTTATTTACATGGAATAGGAACTCCTGTAAATAATAAACTTGCTTCGGAGTGGTGTAAAAAATCTGCTAAAAATGGTAGATATAGATTCGGTCAAAATTATTTTTTATATAATAGTTTTTATGGTTAAAAAAAAAAAAATACATGTAAATTTTTGTTGTATAAATTTCTTTAGTTATGTAATAACTTTGTTAAATAAATATTTTATTATATCTATTGTAAATAAATAAATTTTATATTAAATTTGGAGAATGAAAAAAAAGTGTATTAAATAATTGGAAAAAGAATAAATTATTCGAATTTACTAAACAATTAAAAACTAAAATAAAAATATGTATTATATAAATAATTAATATTTATCCACTCTCAAATTCATTTTTACTTTGTAACTATTAACATTTCTAAGGTAAGGAAATCAATGAACTTATATAAATGTACATCACCTAACTATTATGTTCTATGACATTTCTCATTCGTGCCATTATGAATTCCAAATAATAATAATAATTTTTTTTTTTAATATTACATATTTCGTAAAGGCAAATTACTCTTGGATGAATCTTTAATTATTCTCAAAAGTGTGGCAAAAGTTCTCAAAGACAATAAATAATGACATTAATTTGCCATACTATACTGTATGTGTAAAATGTTATGCGTCATTTTTAATTATTATTGTTCGATAAAAAGTCTTAAATTACGAAAAAATACAAAAAAAATGGCTACCTAAACCTGTCTTGATTATAGGTGCAGACATTTGGCGACGTATGGATACGTCACATTGACGTGTCGTAACGACGTAGGTCGTAATAGTTGACATTTGCGTCAAAAGTGCCGTAACGACGTGGTCGTAATAGCTGACATTTGCCATAATTAAGAATTTGGATTCCGATATAACAATTTGTTATTTCAAGACAAAGTCTTGTCAATTGTTACATAATGGTCTCTTGTTTTTATATCTGATTCCAATTAATTAAAAATATAAGTACGAAATTGGATTTTTTTATTTAATAAATATAATAAAATGTTGATATAATACAGTAATATAACGGATTTTAAAATTAAAAAATCCGTTATATCTATAGTCAACTGTAATTACGAATAAAATAAATAAATCCATCGTCGTAAGAGTTCTACATTGATTTTTCAGGGCGAACAGGACAGTTTTTAAAAATTTTCGTCACAATGTTATGACACATTTTACAGCACATACCAGATGTTACGGCACATACCAGATGTTACGGCACATACCAAATGTTACGGCACATATGCATATGTCTAAAATTAAGTCAAATGTCGTTCATGGCGTTTTGACGTGTCATCACGTCTTGAGTTACGTCTTAGGTGACGTTAAGATCAGTTACGGCATCACCAAATGTCTGCATCTATAGTATTGAGTTTTATTATTTATAATTTATTATTGATAGAGTAAGTAATATAAGAGATAAAAAACTTTTTTTTATACTGTTTAACAACTATACTGCAAAAAATAAAAAAAAGGAAAAACAACTATATAACTAATACTAAAAACTCTTTTCTTTAAGAAAACTTTAATAAAAAAAATAACAATATATAAAAAAGACAACATTAATCTTTAAAACCAACTACTTGAATATTATAATTTTAATTATGTAGAATAGAAAAAAAACCAAAATTAAACAATTTAAAGTGTACAAATAGCTAATTATACTTTTACAATATGTATCATTTCTTACTATTAATATTAATAAAAATTTAGCTAATAGTATTTATATAAAGTAAAAAAAATATATTGTTGGAAATAAATCAGAATTATTATGTAAAAATATTTAAAAACATGATTTAAAAATATAACTAAAATTGTAATTTGGATTATAACTTAAACTACTAATTATATAATCAGATTTTTTTCTATTGTATATAAAAAAAATTTCAAAAATTAGTTTATAATACTAAATTTAATTTTTACAAAAAAAGTATTAACTAATCTAAAAAGAAAAAAAATAAAAACAGAATTAATACAATATATAATAAGAAAAAGATACAATAATTTATTTTTACAAGCTTATAGTTTAGCTTTAGTATTGTAAAAACTTTTTTTAAATTATATAGCTACAATATTATAGACAAAACTTACAAAAAAAAAGTTAATAAAAAGAAAAAAATATGAGTTAAAGGACTGTTCAAAGAAGACTATTAAAATAAAAGAAAAAAGAAATATTAGTAAAGAAAAAACAGAATAAGTCACAGTATACTTCTTTTAAATTTTGTTATAAAAAGTTCTTTTTTTTGTCTTAAGTTAGAGAATAACTCCTTTACTCTCTTTACTTTTATATTAAATAAATAAAATTTTAATAAAATATATAATTGTTATTAAATAAAAATTTATTATTACTATACTTGTTTCTCTATATAATATATTTGATTATTTTACCTTATTAAATCATTTCTGTTTTGTTGTTTTATTGAATAATATTATATGAAAATCTAAAAGAATGAGTAACTAACTTACTATCTTTCACCCTACTACTATAAAATTCATATACTCTTACAATAACAGTGCTAGTAGAATTGACCAAATATAGACAAATATTCATATCATTCTCCTTGACTATGCAGACATCCTTCCAAATCTATTCTCTAACTTAAACTACTCAACTATTGTTCTTGAAACAACAATTATCATTAACAAACCTCTCATACCAAACTCCTATATAAGGACTGTTTTCAAATGGAACTCTACTCAAGCAATACAGTTTGAAAAATATCAACAACATACAGAACAAAACCTTACCAGTCTCTTTACTTCTATAAAAAAAATCTCAAATACCAATGACCTTAACAATATATGGTATGAGAGGTTTGTTAATGATAATTGTTGTTTCAAGAACAATAGTTGA